ATCACGTCTGCTTCACACGCAGAAGGTCGCCGGTTCGAGCCCGGCCAAGACCTGAGCTTTTTCTTATGAGCTTTTTTTTCCCTTAAACTTACTAAACTTCGGATAATATGATAAGATTAACTAATTAATCAATCTGTTTGCATGTCTATGATACAATTCAAAGTAAAATAATCTTAAAGCAACCTCCTGTAAAAAATGGACCGTAAAAATTTATCAGATTCAATTGCTCATGAGAAAATACAATCAATTGTGCCAAAATCTAATAGTTGTATGTAATTGTTTGATTGGAAGAACTGAATTTGAAATGTGATGAAATTATGTGTAATAAGCGCGTTAATTATATATTTCGAAGAAAGAGAATAAATTCTCACTCATTGAATACTGTCTAGTCAGCAATGTATATCACTGTTTAAGAGAATTTGATGGATCATTATATTATACAATATATAACACTATCCTGGCTTACTTCTCATTTATCAAGGAGACACATCGAGAAATTCCGGTTAAAATCAATAGTATCAGGAATAAAATACTTACCGTAATATATTGATAATGTTGGAATATTTAAGAAATAATTTAAAATTTTCTGAACAATCATCTGTAATTATACTGCAATGGACAAATGTACCGCTCAAGGACATATAAGTGATCTTACAATCATTGATACTTTCTCCGTTAGTACCCGCAAAGAAACCGGTTCAACAACCTGCTCAAAGTATTTCAATTTTAATTTCATGAATACCGTAAGAAGGAAAAGAGATACCGCATCAACCAAATTTAATCAAAGAAATTCCAAGGTTATCTTTTTCGGAACCATCAGACTCTCGCTTAATTAGCTCAGAAATTATTTTGAAAAACATTAATTTTGTTACGAGTAGCTGATGCAAAATCGTATCATTTAAATAGGATATATTTTCATTTCAAAGAATAAGAAAAAAACGAGAAAAAATTTTTCGGCTTCAATTAAATATCACGTCAATTCCAATATTTTTTATTTTTATTTTTAGCAAATCATTTGCTTCATTATTGATGTGCAATCTTCATTTTACGACTTAATTAAAAGGAAGCTTTCAATTTTTTTAAATTCCAATTTAATGATTATATATTTAACTATAACTGTTATAGGAAATATTTAAGTTAACCTTGAATACAATCATTCATTTCTCTAATCAAAAAGCCGGCTTTGATATCTATAAATAGTGATCCTCTAAAAATTTCTCCCAAATAATAGTAACTAAAGTGGGATATTTCTACAGAGAAGTCAATGAAAGGTTCTGTTGTTAATAATCATAGAGTACAGGTAATGTGTGTGTGTGCGTGTGTGGCAACAAAGCATATATCAATAAAGGATTTGACGTGATGGATTTACTTGTTGGCATAAAGGAGCCGGATGGTCATTACTGCATCATTTGTCCTTCAACATGCTACTATCATCCGAAATAACTACACAATGGAATGATGGATACGGTTGAGTAAATTAGAATGATTCGATAGCCATTAATCCGTACCGCTAAAAACAACGCTATCCATTTATTAATAAGCTTATTTATTAACATTTTTTGCATCCCTAACTGATTGCGAAAAAAGTCAAAGATTAGAATGATTGCTATGTGATAGCTTCACAGGTGAAAATGTTAAAATTTAAACGAAATCTTCAGTACTAAAGTTTATTGATTAAATACCACATATTATCGCAGTATTTTTTTCATTCCTCCTGAATTATATAAATATTTTACATGTGCATATATATATATACATAATGTATTATCATATTGTCCAAGTTAATTGCTAAAAGAGTGAAAACGTCTGGCATTGTGAAAATGCGCAAACTGGTACAGCTGGTCTAGAAGATATGCATTATATATAGCAAGCTAAAGGTATAAGCACACGAGATAGCACCTGGTCATTTTATGATGTCCAATATGAATTAAAGCCGCAAAAGACATCATCCTGGAAAACAACAACCCTTTTTCTCCTTAACTGAATTCAATCGGACACCTGCGCTAATTATAACACCCACAATCTTTGAAAGCCTCTTTTGCGTAGATGTATGATGCCGAAATAAACCAAGGAAGGAAGAGCAGCTGATTTAATACCATGTGATACTTTTATTTATACCCGCATCCAATTACCAATTTCATGAATGACTTACAGATAACTGTAAAATACAGTCAGCTTTCGATAACTCTGTCCGATTATTTTTCTTTTTTTTGGATAATTGGAAAATTTTTAAATTAATTTGTGAATTTGGAGAAGAAATTAAAGTGAGTAATGGATGAAAGAATACACATGATATATAAGTGATATTGTAATCGCAAAAGAAAGAAATTCTTCGATTACTTTTTACATACATACGTATGTTAGCAAAAATATTTTGAAAATTAAAACTTTGTGACATTAAAGGATAAAATAATGAAATAGTTGATAATCACTTCAGCAAATCAACTGACCAATCTAAACCACAATCTGTTGGATAATTATATTTAAATATAATTTCATTAATTAATTCATTTAACTAATATATTTGAAAAATTTTGGTATAATTTCATTTATTAATTCATTTAAATAATATATTTGCAATAAATTCACACACTTGATGTTATCTTTTTTGCATGTATAACAAATTATGCAAGCTAAGCTGTTAAAAATAAATTTAAAGAAAGCTAACTTTTCTGCATGATTTTATATAAGCAATACACAAACTCTTTTCACCTGGAAGAATCATTTTGCAGTTATCAAATGAGCAGTAAATATTTGAACTACAAAATTTTAATATTTGATTTCTACTCGAGAATGAAATAGTTTTGCATACATCTGGAATATTTGTTGGATGGAGAGCAGATGACAAGCAGACCCTGATCTAATATATCCCAGTGTCGTTATTAGAAGACTAACAGCTGCACAATATAGGCCAGAAGCTCTTGCCACTACTGCTGTTATCCATCTGGCGTACACTTCTTGGCCTTAATATAAATTTGCTCCACATATTTTAATTATGAAATAGAAATATCCGAATTTATCTTTTCATTTAAATCATGAATTTTAAAATAGCTCAACTTTTCCAACAGTCTTTTCATTTGCAAAAAAAAAAAAACAAAAAATTGGATGACGACGATATTTTGTTGCTTTTTGATAGCATCAATTAATATTATAACAGAAATTGACTGTGATGTTTGAATTCGGTTAAGTTGAATTAGAATTAAGTCGGTGTAAACCAACAGGTTGTAGATACCATCTGGATAAGTACTTAATATTGCTTTAGAATGTTCAGGTGTATGTTCAATTCATATGCGAAAAAGGGAAAGAGAGAGAGAGAGAGAGAGAGTTGATCTAGTAAAGAACAAACAAACATCAAAGTACACGTACCGATCATCATTTTTGTTCATATCTATAAGTACTTCAAATTACTCCAATGTTCATCTTCAAGGGATTGTATCTTAAATTTGCAATAACGACTACGCGTTAGACATGTTTACTTTATTTCGTCGTATTGCATCGTGCTATGGTTAAATTCGAAAAATTTTCATAATTAATACATTCATCATTGGTAGTTTAATTTTAATTGCTTATATTTATTCAACTATTTGCAAGAAAAAAAAGAAAATTGCACATTAACAAAACAGTAATTTGCATTTCTTACGTAATGGTTTAGTAAAAGCATTTCTTTGCTTCCATGTTAGTTGAGATTGTGCCAGAAAATTGAAAAGTTTCAATTTCACTTCAATTCTCTAAATGTAATTTTAAATCTGGATAATGCTAAATTACTAATCATTCATATTAATTAATTCGAGTTTAGATTGCATTAATGTTTATAAATATTGTTTAATTGAATTTAATTTTTATTCCTTCAATCTAATCTCATATTTTGTAGGAAATTATTTCATTCAGCTATCAATAGCGCTACTGTTTCTAAGTAAACATTAAATTGACTACTTGATTACAGCTATGCTAATAATGCAGTACCATAATAATTTCTGCAGGTGTTGCATGCTTATGCACATAATGCTTGCCAGCTACGCACACCTTTACATTTGATGGCAGGTATAAATGACCTCGCTTTATGTTATTGACCTTCCCATATTTGTAACCATTTTTTCATTTTAACTTATTGTCTTATAATTTTTCATAATATGTTTTCGGATTTTGCTAATATACGAAAAATATATGCATCTATAAATTTATTTTAGTATGCTTTCATTAAAAATTTTTGACTTTATTAATATAATCTTTTTTAATTATCATTTTAACATTTCTTCAAAGTTTCGTTAACTGTAACAATTTTTTTCTGAAAAATTTGATTTAATTTTACGCTTGCATTGTTCATATTTAATTTCGACCAGGATTTTATTTTCAAAAATTTATTTCTTAAACGAATTTTTTAAAATCATTTGAAAAATTGGAAACATTTGTCAAAAAATGCATTTCAATTTCGATTTTCAATTGTCACACTTTTGTTTGACGAATAATTTCACCACTTCCCATGTCAAAATGTATTCGGGCGTGGTCACAAATGAGAAATAAAGGAGAAAAGGAGGTCGAATTGAGGGGCGGTCATTGCATTTCACTAAACAGTCCGTTACAGAAGGACAAGGACACCGTAACAATTAATGTATTGAAGTGGTTTCTCTCTCTCGCTCTCTCTCTTCAGGAAGACACAGTCCGGTATTTCCGAGTGATCCGATCGATTCGTTTACTCTCATTTTTCTTTTTTTGTTATTGAGAACGATCGTGAAACCAAATTTGTGGGATTTAAAAGACAGTAAAATATCTTTAACATTGTTAATTATTCACGCTAAATATTCTTTTTTTAAATTTGATCTCCATTAGATAACATTTCAGTAAGATGTTATGACCCTGAAGTAATTTCAACAAATTAATCAAATGCATGATGTATTCATTAAAACTTTTGAATTCATTAAAACTTTACCACCTATTCAAAACTTTTACATTCTCGTCGATTATTTTCATTGATATATTTTATAACTTATTTTACCGTCAACTTTACCCCTCAATACCGATGAGCTTAATGACTTTTCTTTTTAGAAAAGATAAAATTATTTCAGAAATTTGTCATGTCTTTGTTATCACCAGAGATGATATCTGCGCCGTCACCATCAACACTATCACCATCCACATCATCTATATCACCGAGATTTCCCTCTCCTTTATCACCATCTAAATGTAAACTGTCAGAGTTTTATAAAGTACCATTGCGAGGCAGTCGCATAAGTAAAATATCATGCAAACGACGTGAGCATAAACGAACTATCGCTAAATTGCGTCGTATGTTACCGCATGAACAAAACGTGATACATTGCTCAGAGTTGGAGCTTATCAACCATATCATCGATTATATCATTTCTCTTCAGGTTTGATCGTCAATTTTAATTTCATTCTAATTGGTTCCCACAATTATAATTATTCACTTGACAATAAATTGAGGAATAGAATTAAATTGAGATAAAAAAGTGCACGAAAAAGCCTAGAAATCCTGAATGTACCAATTATTCATTCAGCAAACTTATGTTGTTTGGTTTAAATATCAGACTCATTTTGATTTATGTCAGTTCGGATTTAATTTAAACTAGATAAAATTAATGTATATAAATTAGATTGTTTCACTCTAACGTACTTATCTGGTAGTCGGTGAATTTTAGGAGATGTTACGATCTCAAGAAAATATACCTGACGAGAATCATTCGACTATCGATATTGTTAATCTGAATAGAGCACTGTCACGATTTCATTTATGTACCAACAAACGACAACCGTTGAGGCCCAGCAAGCAATTCTGCATTTAGAAATGTTTTTCGTAACTTAGTAATTGGAATGTAATCCAAAATTTGCTGTGAAATTTTAAAAATTTAATTTACTTTCTGATACACATGTAAATTTATTAAATTTAAATTGAGCTCTACAAATTATTATATTATTTCTCATTTTTGTAACTGTGTAAAAGTTTTAATCATTGAAATTGCAATTTATATGAATTGTTCCGTTTTTTTAACGATAAAGTAATTTTGCTGACATTTTGTCTAAGCACTTTTGTGAGGAAAAATTTCATTTAAATGATCAATCCAAAAGTTAGCAAATTTCGGTTCGAAGCAATTTTAAACAAATCGAAATTCATAAAAAAAAAGAAGAAAAAAACCCATCTATAAGTGCATTAATTAGAACGAGAAAAAAATTTAGCCAAATTTATTTTAATTTAAAGTAAATAACTTAAATTCAATTAATTTAACTTAATCACCTTTTTGCATATTTACTACTTCATAATTTTGTAATTAGTTCAAATTTGCAGTACGATATGAAACCAGAACAGAGCAAAAATATTTCAGTTCGAAATATCATTTGTTTTTTTTTTTTTAAATTTCAAGCAAATTTTATCTCCTATAAATTTTTTTTTTTTATTAAGAATCTATCAGAAGAGAACACTATTAATAACCTAAAAAAATTTTTTTTGTGTGTTAAGATTTAAGACAAATGATGATGTTGACATATGGTGTAATGTGCAACAGTTACTTCTACTCAATTATTTCCAGGTGCACTGCACAGGTGTCCTCATACTTCACTGCCCTTACGACAAGTTTTATTTACATCTCGCATATTTTCAATAATCCACAACATGCATTGTGCTGTATGAGAGATTCCGATAATATGTTACATTCTTGAAGTTCATGCACCTGGTATATTGCACCTGGTTGTAGAAAATATTCATCTTTGTCTCATCTCTTTGGTTTTGCAATATTACATGATTAACAATTAACAATCATTATTATAAACAAGCTTTTATATTTGACGCAATATTTCAAATAATTTATTGCTATATTCAAATATTCATTAAATTCCTTTTTCTTTTATTTTTTAAATTACTCATATAATTCCTTTTTTTCTAAAATATTCATAAAATTTGAAAATTATTTAGGCCTTATGTGTTTCAGCACTTTTAGTTACATTTTTTTATATTTCAAATAGTATTTTTATTGTATTTTCGAATATTCATTAAATTTTAAAAATCGCAAAATATAAATTTTAAAGATTATTTAGACTAAAAATTCGAATATTTGAAAATCAAAAAAGCAACCAACAATTGCAGCATATTTAACTATTTAAGGAGAATGCAAAAATTTTGTCAATAACATTGTATGTAATTGTGGAAAAACCAAATAAATATTAATAAATATTGAAGTAAAAAGTTTTTGTAGTATTACTATTGGAAAACATGCTTAGAATTCTCAACACCTTTTGATGTTTTCACAAAAATTACAAGAATTCTTAATATTTCTGATTAACAATAAATCTATTTTTATGTATTGCAATTATAATAAAGTTATTAAATTTTTAACAAAATTTTAAAACTCGGAAGTTAATTTTCATGTTTGTCAAATATTTTATATTTCTTTAAGTGCTAATAAAAAATAAAATCCATGTTTATTCTAGCAAGATTTTAGCAACATTTAATTTAATATGCAACAATGCAATTAGTAATTTTATATGTAATCAAAATTCAGAAAATTCAACCAAACTTTTTCATTGACTTCACCAGGATAGTGACAAGCCCGAGTCAATCAAAGAAAGAAAGCAATTTTTTGTATAATAATACTGTGAAGATTTCATATAATTTATACTTCTCGCTATTTTTATTGTAATTTAATTGCAAATTTAACAATAATAGGAAATATGTTTTACGAGAGGAAGAATATCCATAAATGTGCAATGTGCACAAAGCGATGGTGTACAATGCACGGAACAAATAGTCATAAAAGAGGGTCATCCAACAATTTGCGGTCTTTTTGAAAAGAGGAAGAAGAGGTTCGCTTCGAACTATATCGATGTCCACCTATTGTCCATTATTTGTCCGCTTCCTGAATAATTACCACAGTCTAATAATTGTGAATACAACGACTAAATGAATGTTCGATTCTCGCATGAAACCCTTTCGCGGTACCTTTGTTAAGAGAGATATTGGTGGCGGTATTGCAGTTAATTTAAAAAGCGATCGTTTTTCTTCGATTAAATTGTTGAAAATTAATTAACAATGCAGAATGAGTATCAGTGATGTTTGATTCTTTCTGGATGAATTATCACTGAAATTGTAGTGAAAGATTGATTCAGCGTATAATTATAAGTAAACTTTATGCGCTATTTATGAACAAATCCTTATTTTGACAGTTCAAATATTTGCTTTCAATCTCATTAAATATGCAATTTATGCAGTATTCTTAAGCTACCTAATTGTTATTTTCAAATACAATGCAAATAGCAAATAATTGCAACAATAATTGTAGTAATTTCAAAAAAATTGTTTAAAAAGTATTGCTTCTACTAATATTACTTTGAAATTTTTAACAATATAATACTTTTATTAAATAATGATACTTTAAAATAATGTTTAGTAAAAATATATTTAGATTTTTAGAAGTTTGTTATTATTACTATTATTAATATTGATATTAGTAAAAGTAATATTTTAATATTTACTAAGGTGCACAATACGAGCAATAAAAATGAGTTAATGGTGTATTGCATTATAACTAACCTTTTATCACCTAAAAAGATCAACAGATAGATTGAATATGAATACACTGAACATATCCTAATAATTGCTATTTTTTCCCCAAATTTTAAGCTATCCGTGTAAATAGATGATCAGTGATCAGTTACATATTGACCGTATATATATCTGGCTAGTCTGTCCGAGTATTTCATGAAGTAATTAGCATAAATGTCATTGATTAGCTCATTAATGCTTGGTTCAGTTCACATGATGGATGTTTTTGTTGATATATAAGTGGAATAGGAAGAAAAGGAGAAAGTGGATTTGAATGATGCAACAAACATCGCATCATCCTGAAATGAGTGCAGTCATCAGGAAGTGCTGTTCCCGACCAGCGGGTGGTCTCATTTCCCTCCTCACAATCCTATCATTCAATTTCTTGCTATATGCCCCGAGAACACATGGAACAACCAGATGCTACCGTTAATATCAACCATAATCATTATTACATTTTCAATCCTTTCACTGTCATCGCTACTGATCAAATCATTTATTGCCAATCCAAAAAAAAAAACAATTTATGCTAATTTTTGCATTGCATTAAAGGGTTAAGTTTAAATTTGGAGATGTGCTATGATAATAATATAATTTTTTTTATTGATATGCTATGATAAGAACATAATTTTGATGATAAATTGTGGTGAATATTCAATGGTGAAAAAATTCTTTCAAAATTAATCTCTAATAATTGCATCAAATTAGCAGAGAAAGTTTTAAAATCAACAAATAAAATTCAAACTGAGTTGCAGTTCAAATTCAAAACCTAAATCAAACTCAAAGCTTGTTAAATGTTCCTTTCAATTTGAATTAATTTAAACTGAAAAATTTATTTTCTCGAAAAATCATTAGAGTATTTAAACATGTATTTCTGCAATTTCAAGCTTCAAATAAAATCGTTCATGTATGCTTATCGTTCGGCACTGAAATTGCAGTGCGAAATTTACATAAAGCCTTTATTTGAGTGAGTCAGGAGTTTTAACCATTCAAAAGTATTCAAATATTTTAAATATTTGTCCTGGTATTTTGCAAACTTCATTAAAAAAAAGAAAGAAAGCTCATAAAATGATGAATATTACTATTACATTCAGTAATTATACTTGAACAAATATTTAAGTTCTTAAAAAAAGCTACCATTATCTTTAGGTCATCGCAAAATGATAGTTTAAGGAACCGTAAATCATTCCATCCGCCATATATTATGTCAAATGACAAAATATGATATTGAAAAAAGTGAATCATATCATTCCTATCTTTATTTTCTAAAGAAACAAAAAGTACTCAAGCAAATCCAAAAAGTTAAAATTTTCATTCGTATTGATTGCTTTGATTAATTAACTATTTTGCACATCAAAAATTTAATACATAAGTAATGCTAAATTAATAATTTGAAATGAGTTCTTATCTTTAAAATTTTCAGATTTGCTTTAAATTTGCAATTTTTAGACAATTCTAATTTTAAACCAAATATTACTGCAATTGTTGTTTTTACATATTACTTTTACTCTTTTCTCAATGATTGTTGGACTCAGATTTATAATGTTAACTGTTTTCAGGTCAAATAAGTCAAGATTTAAATAAGCATCGAATAAATTTTGAAAAATAATTATTTGTAAAGTATAGAGAATAGATATCAATTATACCGTAATACTTCATTTCCTTTTAGCATTAGCTATGAAATGGGAATAATGATGAAAGAGAAGGTACGACCTTATCGTAAACTGTCTACGATAAATCTTCCAGCAAACAAAATTGTGAGCACACACCTGTGCAGCTGCGCACATTATCGCGATGGGAAATCAAACGCTGTTGCACTTAACTTCAACCTCAAATTTGCATATCATTTCGTAAATGTGCATGGGAAAATGGTAAAGGTAGTTTTATTAAGAAGATCAATATCAGCACTTGTGAGAAATATAAATCATTGATGAAAGTAATTTAGAAATTTACTTAATGTGCAATATTTAATTTTGAAAAGGCTCTTTGATTACACTCATAGGATTGGTTTCATATTGAAATTCCATATTGTACTCATTTTATTTGTAAATCTTCTTAAAAAGAAAAATTATCATACTGGTTGCTGTAAGAAAAAAAATGCTAAATTTACTTTCATCTTGGTTAAATTTAAAAAAAAAAGTTAAGTTAGAAAAGAATATTTGAAGTAAAAAAGAATTGTTTTTTTCTCGAGCTATTTTGCATTAAAAGAATTGTTTTTTTTTTCTCGAGCTATTTTGCATTAAATTCTCT